GTTTTGTTTTTCTCCTGAAAATGCAGAAATGAGCCTGGCCCAGGACTAACGGGGCCAATGGGGAGTTAAACTGTCAGGATCCCTTTCATTTCTCATTGGGCTGGCAGGCCACGCCTCGGAGGCTGGCAACAGGGATGTGACTCACCCTCCTTCCCAAGGCAGCAACAGAAGCCAGACAGGGACTTGCCCAAGGCCTCTGACAAGGCAGTGGCAACGCAGGGAGTTTCCTGTTGCAGTAGATTTAGCGTCGGTGCCCCTGAGCTCTGCAATGGGATTTGAGTGAGAAACATTCAGGTTGCCTCCCTGGAGCCTGGCTCCTGGCTGCAGGGGCTCTGCTGGAGGCAAATCTCAAAGCTCTGGACGCCTGAGGTGCTCAGAGGCCTGGAAAGACCAGGCAAGCTCCCACCCAGCACAGGCCCCTGCCGCCTGCAAGTGGCACCGCACACCCAGCTGCACACGGATCTGAGCTGTGGCATCTGGAAAAGGAGGTTCAGCTATGAGACAGGAGAAGCAATAAAATCTCAAAATGCAGTAAACAGAACTTCCCAGCACAAAAAAAGTCTCCCATCTTCTCAGCATCTAAAACGGAACCTGTGCAAACTGGCATGGCGCGCTGGGGCTGAGGGCCACAGGAACCGAGCACATGTTTTGTCTGCATTATCTCATTTCATCTTTTCCGTAGCCCGGGGAGAAGGCAGTAGTTTCTCACCCCTGAGTAGCGTGTGGGGAGGCAGAGCTCACAGGGGTCAGGCACCCGTCTCAGACAGGGTAGAGCGCCAGGCCCGCTTGCTTCCACTGTCCTATCAGGCCGCTCCGCCCCAAGTGCCGGTACACCATCCCAAGGAGGATGTGCATCCCAGGACAAAGAGCCCTGCCCACAGACGCAAGCTCACAACATTGCCCACGTCACCCTCCCTATGGGAAAAACTGTCAGAACACACTACCAGTATAGTATTTATAAATTACACATGTGTTCTACCATGCTAATACAGACTTCGGCTATTTGAAAAGGGGAGATTAAACTAAAGAGAGAAACTCGGGTGTGCCCTCCCCCCTTTACTCCGGAGAGTCTTGCTACAGCTTCCGCAGTCCTCACCACCACAAAGTTCCCTCACAGACCCTAGTTATGGATGCGTGGCCTTGTAGCTGCAGCGTGGAAGAGGGCAAGCCACACAGGCAGCAAGCGACAGGTCTGCGGCCAGGCACCCAAGACCACGTTCTCGCTGCTCAACACTGACCGAGAAAGAAGCTGGAAGTTCACTTTTCTTGCACCAGAAAACTACATTTGGGTCTCTAGTGTGAGTGGCCAGAGACTAGGGCCTGAGCCTCCTGTGCAGTACTTTCAGGTTTATCGACTGCCCTGAGGAGATGCCCGTAGTCCGGGCCAGGCCACCAGCACGTGGGGCTGGAGAAGGAAGCCTGGGCTGCGCGCCGTCGGATGCTATTAAAAGCAGCCCACATAGTTTCCATCATTCCTCACGCCGCCGTGTCATTTTACAGACCCAGCCCTTGCTTCAGGCACACCAGCTAGGAACTCTGGGTACTGAAGAAAAGTGACTCCTCCACAAGTCTTCTCGCTATTGCCAAGGAAGCATATTGGGACCAGGAGTTGGACAGGCAAGCAAAGGACATCCTCGCTCTGCTTCTGAGCCCAGTGAGTCTTGGGTCCCTCTCCCAAACACTGCATTCCCCCCCCCCAAAACCCACTTTGAACAGTTGTTTTAGAGGCATATGAATTATTTTTATTTATCTGAAAGGCAGAGAGAGAGACAGAGATGATGGTTCACTCCCTCAAATGACTGCAACAACCAGAACTAGACCGTGCTGAAGCCAGAGCCCAGGACTCCATCCTGATCTCCCACGTGGTGGCCAGGACCCAAGTCCATGAGCCATCCCCTGCTGCCTCCCAGTGTGTGCAAGAACAGGAAGCTGGGACTTGCACTCAGGCCCTCCGCTTCAGGAAACTGCTTTCCAAACTGGCATCTTAACCACTGTAGCAAATGCCTGCCCCAGTACCTAAATTTGGGCCAGGCTGACTCATCTCCAAGGACAGCGTGAGATCCAGTACAAGGCCAGCCCCCTCCTCCTCCGCCACCGCTCTGCGAGGGAGAGGACAACAGCAACCCTACGCGGATGGCCCCTCTGCGGTGGGTGGCGGTGCCCGCAGATGGAACGGTCGCCCTCCGCCATTCTGTGCCTTTCAAATCAAAATTATTTTGAAACACATCTGTCTGATTTTTCTGTTAAGGAACCCAAAAACCACTAAAAATACAAAGCCATTGGGTCCAGAAGCCTTGGGACAGGAGGCAGGGCAAGCCAGGGGACAGAACGTGCAGTGATGACAGTGACGGCTGTGACACCCTAGAGGCAGAGGAACAGCTCTGTGTCAGAAAGACCTGGCTCCGAAGCCAGCTCTGACCCTGAGCCCAGAGCCTTGAGCAAGCTTCTTGGCCTCCTGGAACCTCAGCATCCTCCTGTGTGAGGGCGTGGTACGACACCTTTCTTACCAGGTTGCTAGGAGAGAATACACGGCCTGGCGCCACTCCGAACACCTGCTAACTGGTTACTAACACAGTAGGAATGAAGGCTAGTTTCCGTTTCTCATTTTTACACACGAGAATAGTAAAATCTGAAGAGTTCAGAATCTGAAATCCCAAGCCACACCCTGCCATGAAAGGAGGCAGTAAAGAGAGGAACTCCCTGCTTCCTATCAGAGCGACAGGGATGGGGCAGTGCCAGGCCACTTGCAGTGTTATTTGAATCTCCACAGTCCCAGGAAACAGACGCTCTCAGGCATTATCAGGCCCTTTTTATGACACAGACTCAGTAATGATGTCTCTGCTGACCGGCACAAACAAGAAAGCGACAAGGCCAAGTCCTAAACCCAGGATTTCTGGCCCAAGACACAGTTTGTCCCACAGATGCTGAAACTAGACCCCAGTGAAGCTGCGCTCATCCCTTAGGGAAACCGGGAGACCTGACGTACTAAATCCAGGTCCCATTCTTACCAGAAGGCTAGAAAAGCCACAGCCACAGGGCCAGAGACGTGGCACAGCAGGTTAAGCCACCGGCTACGACACTAGCACTGCGGCTGTTAGAGTCTCGGCTGCTCCACTTCTAATCCAGCTCCTGGCTAACGCACCTGGGAAAGCAGCAGAAGATGGCCCAACTGCTTGGGCCCCTGCCACTCACGTGGGAGACTTGGATGGAGTTCCAGGTTCCTGGCTTAAGGCTGCGGCCCTGGCCATTGTGGCCGTGAGGAGGAGGGAAATGACAGATGGAAGATCTCTCCCTCTCTAACTCTTTCAAATCAATAAGAAAAATAAAGCGAAAGAAAGGCCACAACTACAAGACAGATCTTGAGACATGGACTCACGGAGCCCAGAAATTCATTGGGGTCTCCCACCTGGGTGGCAAGGACTCAGGTACATGAGCTCCCCCACCTAAAGAAAGCCTGGCCCAACCACCACCAAACCCAAAGCCTCAATTCGCCTAGTCAAAAAAACAGGAGTGGTCCCTTCCCCTTCCTCTCCAAGGGCCATTAATTACATCTGGACGTCTCCCGGCTCCTTAAACCCAAAGGTTAAGAATAGGGTGTGCTGGGGACCTCAGACTCAACAGCTGATGTGGAGGTGGGATGGCAAGCCACGCATCTGCTGCTGTCCCTCAGCCCGGACAGAAACCTGCCAGGTGAAGGGACAAAGGACCAAGGGACACTGCCATTTCCTGACAGGCCTCCTCTGCCAGGAACTGTGTTAGGGGCTTCTTTAGTTTGACTTTTTTCTTCTTAAGAGACAGACAAAGCCAGTCCCATCTTGGCATAGGCGAGTGGTGCCCATGAAAGTGCTTGGAGGAGCAGACAGTGTGGAATCAGGACACCGGGGCAGGTGCCGGTCACACTCTGCCCTAGGAAGCAACTGTGCATTAAGGTAGAGCTCCAGGGCAAGCCTCATAGCCCAGGTGCAGGCCTAGGAGGACAAGAGGGTGCTGAGATGGCCCACGACCCTGGGAGATGGGCTGCAGTCCTGACCATGGGCCGCTGAAGTACCCAGTGTCCTCACGCCCCATAGCAGCGTCCAGAGCAGCGGACCCAGGCCGCACCAGCGGAGAGCAGGGATGCCAGCGAAGGCAGCACTGCTGTCCCTGAACGGCCTGGTGCCTTCAGCTCCCACAGTTCCCCGGCTTCACGCATTGAACCCTCACCCCATGAGTGGTGCTTTAGTGCCCGGGGTTGTGGGGGAGGGTGCTGCTCACAACAGCCCAAACCCCGAGTCATACCCGGCTCACCTGGGAAGGCGCCAACCCAGCTCCAAAGATTGGCCACTGTGCCGACCCCGCACGCCGCACACAAGAGGAGGAAGTGGGCGGATGTGGGAGAGGCTGGGCAGGCGCCGGGAGGAGTCAGCCCTGAAGCCAGGTTGCAGGGGAGGGCACCATGCCGGGCGTGCAGGGAGATGAACAGGGTGGACTGAGTCCTAACACCTCTGTCAGGAGAGGGAAAGGAGATCCGGCCTTGATCACGGGCCTCCGCTGCTGAGAGAAGCCACAGGGGCGGACCGTATCCCCTAGGGAGAGCCCCCGCCCTTACACAGGAGCCGCACTGAGGGTGTCTGGGAGGAAGAGCCCACCAGGCCACGGGAAAGCAGGGTGCCGTATGCGGGACCCGCCCGGCGGCGGCGGCAGCAGCCCCTCTCCCCCTCCCCACGCCGCAGCTACCGCCCCTGGCGTGTGGGCACAGCTCCTTCTTCCCCCAGGGGCTTCTGTGACCATTTTGTTCTATGATACGGAACTCAGGCTCCTGACAGAGCAAGAGCTTTGCTCAGGCTCACGGTTTCCGAAGCTTCCAGTCCGAGGCCAGGCGACCCCATTAGCGTGGCTTCGGATGAGCGCAATGGGACGTGGAGGAGCGCGTGCCGAGGCAGGACTGCCGAGGAGCCCGGAAACAGAGGCCCTCGCCGGCTTCATCCCTCTCGCGAGAATAGCATCCGGGGCTTGCCACCCGTGACCTAACGACCTCCCACTAGGCCCGCCCCCCTGGTGCGGCAGCTGGGCAAATCGCCACCCTCCCAGCGCCATTAACTGGTGAGTTTGGAGGTTAAAATCTGTGTGAATTCGGGAGCCAAATCGTCTTTCCTTCCATTAAATCTGTGAGTTACAGAAGCCGTACATGCTCGTTGTGACCAATTAAGCAAAGCAGAGAGGCACGAGGGGAGCATCATGAACAGGTCTTTCTTAAATCATCTCTGTGCCCCGCACAGACACAAGCACACACACACGCGTCCCACAGGTATGGGGTCTTCAGAAAGTTCACAGAAGGGTGGGCATTTGGCTTAGACGTTAAGATGCATGCGTGCAAGCCAGGTTGGAGTGCTGAGGGTGGAGTCCCGGCTCTGCTTCCAATTCTTGCTTCCTGGGAAATATGCTCTGGGAGGCAGCAGGTGCTGATGGCTCAAGTAGTCGGGTCTCTACTACTACATGGAGACTTGGGTTGAGTTTTAAGGCTCCTGACTTCAGCCTGGCCCAGGCCCAGCTGTTGCAGGTGTTTGGAGAGTGAAACAGTAAATGGGAACTCTGCCTCTCAAATGAATTAAATTAAAAAAAAAAATTAATGCATGTGAGCCATGCATTTCATGGGAAATGCATGTTAACTTAAAACTATACATGGATTTAAAATTTTGTGCCACGATAAACTTATCTTGTAATTCTATTTTCCATGAACTTTTTGAAGTACACTGACATGAGTGCACTCATGCACACCCTCAAACACACACACACACAGGTTTATTAGTTTGTGTTGCACAAATGAGACACCATATATATCACTCAGAAATCTTTTTCACATCGTGTATGATGTATATATATGTATATCTCTTTCTCTTGTTAATTGCTACTTAATGATCTGTAGTTTGGCTTCACCAGTTTTTCTTAAACGTTCTTGAAATCATACTCTATGTTGCTACTCTCTCTTCACTTAATTTTAAATCAATTCCCAGGTCATCGAAGGCTGTTGGTAAACCCAGGCTCAATGACTGTGTCTTTTTCCAGAAGATACCATAATTGACCAACTAATTTTCTGCCATGTGGGACTACTAAAAGTAATACCACAACAAATACAGGGCATTAAGTAATGTCCACGTTTCTGGTCAGTCTTTTAGGATATGAACACTTTGAGAGTCTCAGTCCACACTGTCCCAGGAAAAGTGTAAGGTCAGTTTTGTCCAGGGTAACTATCTACTCCGACGTCCTCTTTTCAGAATGATCTGCTTGCCAGCGGCCCTGGCTCCAGCTTTCTAAGTCAGCCCTTCCTCCTTCCCCACATTCTGTCCCACCCTAGGCTCCAAAGTGGCCCTTTGCCCCTGGGCGTGCGGCCTCCCTTGCCATCTGCTCACAAGCCCTGTCCCACCTCCCACAGCCCTATGGCTGTCTCCGTCATGGCACCTAGGCCTGGCTCTTGCTCTACAACCCCAAGCCTGGGTAGCAGAGTGCTGAATAGGCACTAGAAAATTCTAGAAGCCTAGAATTTTCCAGCAGGCATCCTCCCTGGCCTGAGAGGCAGGCTGACTGGCGACAGACAAGGGGGTGGGGGTGCTCCACAGCGCTGACCTGGGCCCAGGGAAGAGTGGGGGCCACCGCCCACTGGGGTCCAGCCCTCTCTACTCTTCCCTATCCCGGTTTGCCTCCCCTCCCCACTGGTCTGACTTGGGCTTTCATTTTCACAAATGCTCCAATTTGGTGGCTGGGGGTTCGGCCCGAGGGCTCCTGTGATCTGCAGCGCAGGGGCCTGCTTGCCCTCGTTAGAGAAGAGGGACCCTGGACGCTCTGCAGACCCCGCGGGGCTGCGGTAATCAGCGGGGGCTGCTCGGGCGGCGAAGCGTAAGCCTGGTCCTTCTTAGTGAGACTTCGCAGAAATCCCACTGGAGATTTTCCTGCCTCTGCCCTGTCTACTTTCCTTCATAATGATAAATGGCTGAAAAGAAAACTATCTAATCTCCAAACTGCTAGCGTTCCTCCTGCCCCTTCTTCGAGGCGAGAAGGAAGAACACAGTCACATAAAACAGAGTCCTTCATCGCCTGCACCTCTGGAGACGGTTCCTTCCCTTTTCATCCCGGGCCTGTTTCTGATCTGGGATGGGCTTGCATTGAAAGCCCCAGCCGGGCCCTCCCTAATCAGCTGCGACAGACGGCTGTGGAGGCTGGGGTTGCCCATCGACGTGGAGTAATGGAGCTGATTGCCCGGCCCCCTTGCCATTTTGTTCGGCGCACAATTGCTTAATAGCTGTCACCTTGGCTTTCAAGGCTGGCCGGCCGTGAGCTGACTGGTTCCCATTACTCGGGATGGCCAGTGCAAGTTCATCACCTTTACAGGATGTCCCTGATTGATTCCGTATGCCTTGGAGACCTGCAATGTATTTGCATAGCGGGGGAAGGGGACTGCAGGGGGAAAGGAATGGGAACCTCTTGGCTACGGGAGCTGCCAGTTTTCCTTGCAGGCCCCTCCTGGGTTTGAATCATTACCAGGACTTCTTTGTCGGGAGTCTGGCCTCTGCTGACATCGCTGCTAATGAATTTGTAATTTTTTTTAAAAATACAAAACAACCCAGCCGGTTGTAACCTTTGCTGTCGCCACCTGCCACCTGGGTGGGGGTGGCCGGCGGCAAGGGTGCCTTGTCTTCTGGCTGGTCTTGGCCGTGACAGTCTCTCCCAGCCATGCCCTCCCGGGGGCCTCTGAGCAGAACCGGGCTCAGAGGAGGCAGCTTTCAAGTGAAATCCTTTGCACTGGGAACTACTTCAATTAGACAGCAGGGGGAATGTTAACATGCCCTCCGGCCTTTTAAGTGGGTTTTAATTTTATGTTGTAAGATAAGACACTGCGGGGCTGGGCTGCCGCTCTGCCGGCAGGCTCCATTAGCGGGGCCAGCCAGGGCCTCTTGACCCCCGAGGCCAGCGCAGGCTAGAAGTTGGTTTTTGGTTTTTTAACAATTTGTCAGTCTGACCCAGCTTCTCTCTTCCTTCTCCCTGCTGTTGTTCCAGGGTCTTCCGCCGAGGGCCTGTTGGTGGCTGAGCTGGGACCCAGAGGCCTGGCGCAGGGCCGGAGCGCAGAGCCCGGGCAGCCGCCTGCCTGCCCACGGCCTCGCGCCTCCATGCGGGCAAGACACGGTGGAGGCAGCCCCTTTTCCAGTGGCAGCTTCTGGCCCAGTGATGGATGACCTGTTGGCGCTCCTGAATGGCGCCCTTTGTTCAGGAGATCCCATGTGCCCCCTTTTTATTGAGTTGTTGACTCAGAGGGGCAGGAAAGTTCCACAAATCCAACGGCAGGCCCGGCTCTCGCCATGCCCAGGTGGGGAAGTCGGGGACCTCATGCTTCCCAGAAGGTGGGTAGGAAGCTGTGGGGCTCCCTCAAGGCAAAATACCCCGTAAGAAGCAGACTTTCTGTACCCGGGGCTGAGCCAACTGTGTGTCTGGAGAGAGCCGAGGGAACATAGGTCTTGCCCTCAGCCTCCTCCCTGGCTTCTAGAAGATACAGGGTACCCCAGATGTGCAGTATCCACCCGGAAAGAAAGAAAGAAACAGAGCTGGGGTGAGTTAGAGCTCTCTTCCCTGCCCCAAGCCAGGCTCCGGTGAGCATCCGGCCAACAGCTAACAGAGGAAGGAGTGTGACCTTGTGTTCCGTAGGAAGCAGTCCAGTGAAGGGCCCTGCGGAAACGGGGGACAAAGCTGACCTTTTATCCAGCAAGAAATCGCATGTTAGTCCTGCTGAGGACAGATTTAAAGGGTGCTCCTGGCCTTGCCTTCTCTTCTGGGTTCCCAGCCGACAGCAGAGATGGTGGAGGTGAGCGAGCGGCTTTGGTGAAGGAGCAAAGGGACTCTGAGGGGGGAAACCCTGCAGCGCCTCCGTACACCTGCGTTAGGGTGCCACTTGGAGTTCAGCTCCTTCCCTCTCCCTGCATCTCCTGGCCAAACCTCAGGGGACAGTGTGGAGTGAAGGCTGAGCTGCGCTCACACCTCGCACTGAGCCAGGAAGCCCCGGGCTCTGCCTCTCACCCACTTGTTGGTTCCTTTTCTGAAGCTGCCGTGCAGATCCCACCAAGAATCCCCTCCTCATGAGACCGACCTCCCCAAACAGCCGTGTTGTGTGTTGACTGCTCAAAGGCAGCAGTCTTGTCCAGGGCCTGCTGGGGCCTTGGTGGACCCTGGAATTGAGACCCCTCCCCTAAGGAGCGCCTCAGGAGCCAAGGGGCTGTCTCCACACTGACCCTAAGTGACATGCCTCTGTGCTCAGAGGCTCAGGGGGCCCCACCTTGCACCTGAGAGAAAACACAAGCAAAGGGAGAGGCAGGCCTCACTGCTGAGCCCAGAAATGACAAGTCAGGAATAAAGAGCCTGCACACACCGCACAGCTGTAAAATGGCTTTATGTTCCGATACGTAAAATAAAACGTCCGTGCTATATAACAAAACTCTTGACGATCCGTATCACCTGTCAGCTAACGTGTTTCCTAATAAAGCTTTATCTGCAGTGTATGTGTGTGTGTTTATATATAATATATAATATATACGTTTTATCTAAACCGCTCTTAGTTTTTAACATCAGACATGTAATAAAAATTTAAATAGATGTCTTTCCGAATACCCCCTCCAATGTTCATTTTTATTAAGTTTAATAGTCATCTTTAAAAAGCAAAGCTGAATTTGACATGTGGCCTGCATTTGTGAGATATATATATTTATTTATTTATTCATTTATATAATATATAAATAGGTTATTCAGCATGCAAAGAGTTGAGTGACTTCCCAAACTTCACTTAAAGCTCGCACCAGCCACACAGGCCAGTCTGCTGATGTTCAAGGCTAGAGAACAAGGCTGAGGGCCAGACACCTCGTGGAGAAAAGCGACCTTCATTCCCTGTGCACACTGGCTGAATATTCTGGAAGAACTGAATTTTTCTCAATTCTCTCTCTCTTTCCATCTCTGGTTGGGCTTTCCTGGGAGTGGAACAGGCCCAGGAGATGCCTGACATCAGATCCAGGGTGGTCTCAGGGGGACATGGGTGTGCTTCCAAACTGCAGCCCCAGGAGGCTGCAGGCGGTGCCCGAGAGGCTGAGTATGGTACAGCAGAGGGGGTGTGTGGGTTGGGGGTGTGGGGTCGCCTGTGTGTTGAGGACCGAGGTGTGAGGGCTTTAAGACAAACCCCGAATAGTGACAAAGATGCTATTGATTTTCCCTCCTTTTGAAGGAAAAAATGAAACTTCCACCACTGTAAAATACCCATCAGGTGGGACCCTTCCTGGAAGTCAGCCTCAGCGCTCAGAGCCCCAGCAGTCAGCTTCCTGACCGCGGACTGAGACGCCTGCACCCCTCTCGGAGGCTCCGCAGGGCCTACCTCTCAGGTGGTCTCACAGGCCCTTCAGAAGCCAAAGCAGTGGGCCTCCTGCTCCCCTTGCACCTCCAGCATGTGTACAGAGCCTTCCTGGGGGAGACCTCACCACCTGGCCCTGAGCGGGCTCCAGGGGCCTCTAACTAGCTCCTCTGGACCCTCGATTCCCATCCCACCATGGGCACGTCCAGAGATGCCAGACAACAGCCCCAGGCCCTGCAGCAGAATCGTTTCTGAGATCATCCTGGTTTTCTTTGATGGCCTCAGTCGTACATCAGAAGACAGACGCTCTCCAAAATACATACATGGAAGCATGAGCACAGGTACACACGCACACACGCGTGCGCACACACACACGCATACACACACATGCACACGCGCTGTGAAATACCTTCCTGTGTTTCTCGGTTGTACAGGCCACCCACAGAGGTTACTACTGGGTTAACAAGGTCCGGGGGCTGTCACGGAGGCACGGAGTCACCCATCAGTCCAGTTCTCCACGGTCCCCATCCCTGAATGGTACTGTAGGGAGGACTCCCGGGACAGGGAGAAGCTCTGAGAGTACAGAAACTCGCTGGCAGCATTCAGGTGTGGGGAGGGGGGCTTCCGCTCACACACCGCGGGGAGGCCGCGCTCTCTGGGGAAGGAGGCGCTGGGCCCCCGCTCCCGGACCTGAGATTGGGAGAGCTGGTTGTAGACGCTGAAGTGCGCGTTTCCTGGTGGCTGGGAGCTCTGCGCGGAGATGGCGGGCAGCCGAGGCATCATGGTGGTGGCAGTGAAGTGCGTGGGGAAGGGCTGGTAGGGCACAGTCTCCATGGTCTGGACGCTGTAGCTGGTGTACGGTGAGACCGAAGTCCACATGTTACAGCTCAGTGGGGGCGGGGGCAAGTCGTCCACCCCAGACACCCCGGCGATCTCGGGCCCCGAGCCTGAGTACATGCACGCTTCTCGTGGGGTCACCTCACTGCAGTAGGAGGGGCTCAGCATCTGCTGGTCGTAAGGAGGGGGAGAACGGAAGTAGTGGTCCTCCCCCACTGAAGAGGGGGCTTCCAGATAGGATCGCTTGCAGGGCAAGTCCAGGTGGCGGGCGCTGTCTGCTGGAGGATAAAAACATACTCAGGGAGAGCCATTTCCACCCGCCCGGCACCTCCCGCACTGCCGCTGGATGCCACAGCAGGCTTCCCTCGTCACTCAGTGCCCACCCTCGCCCGTGTCGCCATGGCACGCCCACAAACGTCTTAATCAGCTACAGCTTTTAGAAGGCGGTGGCAGCCAAAAAGTGGTTGGATCCCAGACCCTAATCAAAGGCCATGGGGGACCCCAGAGCCCTGGACACCGAGTGACGTGCTGGACCAGGCTGTGATCCTTTGCCAGCCTCCTCCTGGGGTGGTGAGAGGCCCTGATGTGTGCTGGCGTTCTCAGGCCAGGCCAGCCCTGGCCAAGGAAAGTGGAGGCAACTGCCAGGCCCAACCAGGCTCTGAGGCCACATTTGTCTGAACTAGCCAGAAAATTAAGGCCACCATGTTTCTGCTTCATTCCTCAGCTCCTGTAGGCACGTTTCTGTTGTGGGTAGAAAAGGGAGTTAACCCTACTGTGGACAGAGACGGCCCATAAGATTGTTATCACGCCAGCTCCGACACCAAGACATCTACAACTTCAGGAAAGGAGCCGACGGTGAGAAAGAAGGGTCCCTCGGGCTTCTCGGGCTAAGCTGCTGCCCTGGTGTTGCTGACATGGATGTCCTGTCTGTGGGTCTTTCAGCATCTTCAGCTGCAGGAGTGGCCCACCCTCCTCTGGGGTACCGGGAGGACCCAGGCCTGAAGGCTCTGGTGGTGGCCTGCTCAACAAATCGAAGGACACTTATCCACACTTATCCTGGCCGCCCTCCTGCTGCCTCTGAGGATCATTCTGGAGGCCAGTGTGTGCACAGGGCAGGGCAGCCTGGAGGAGGGAGCTGGCTCTGCAGGCCAGTGCTCACCTCTCTCCAATGCCCCTCCTCGAGAGACATCTTCCCTGCCCTGGGGGAGCTGGATCTTCCCCCACTCACCCCTCCTCCCCATCTTCCCCCCAGAGTCTTCCTCTCTCCCTGCACTAAGCTCTTAGCCTTGGCAGGTGGCCAGTGACTCTAGGTCAGGACTAAGCAAATGTCTTCCATCAAGAGACAGCGAGGAGATGGATCAGGCTTTGGGGGCCACACCACGTCCACCACAAGTCCTCATCCTGCAGCTGGCCCCTGAAAGCAGCCGTGGACAACATGGACGTAAATGAGGGTGGCTGTGTTCCAATAAAGCTTTATTTATAGAGACTAAATTTTGAACTTCAGATACTGTTCACATGTCATGAAATCTTTTTTTTTTTTTTTTTTTTTTTTGACAGGCAGAGTGGACAGTGAGAGAGGAGAGAGAGAGAGAAAGGTTTTCCTTTGCCGTTGGTTCACCCTCCAATGGCCGCCGCGGCCGGCGCACTGCGCTGATCCGAAGGCAGGAGCCAGGTGCTTCTCCTGGTCTCCCATGGGGTGCAGAGCCCAAGCACTTGGGCCATCCTCCACTGCACTCTCAGGCCATAGCAGAGAGCTGGCCTGGAAGAGGGGCAACCGGGACAGAATCCGGTGCCCCAACCAGGACTAGAACTTGCCGGCGCCGCAAGGCGGAGGATTAGCCTAGTGAGCCACGGCGCCGCCTAAGTCATGAAATCTTATGTTGACCTTTTCCCCACTGTTTGAAAACTGTGAAAAACATTGTGCACAGGCGGCACATCAGTTTAGTGCTCAGGCCCCAGTTTGCCAGCCTGCTCTCGGTCACTGAGCTCTAACAGGGCTTGTGCACGGGATACCCAGAGTTCAGCCTGGCTGGTGGCTGGGAGTGGTGCTGAGAGAACATGCTGGATCACAAGCAAAAGTCCCAGACATGGCCGGCGCCGCGGCTCACTAGGCTAATCCTCTGCCTGTGGCGCCAGCACCCCCGGTTCTAGTCCCGGTTGGGGCGCCGGATTCTGTCCCGGTTGCTCCTCTTCCAGTCCAGCTCTCTGCTGTGGCCCAGGAAGGCAGTGGCAGATGGCCCAAGTGCTTGGGCCCTGCACACGCATGCGAGACCAGGAAGAGGCGCCTGGCTCCTGGCTTCAGATCTGCACAGCGCCGGCTGTAGCGGTCATTTGGGGGATGAACCAATGGATAGGAAGACCTTTCTCTCTGTCTCTCTCTCTCTCCTCTCTCACTGTCTAACTCTGCCTGTCAAAAAAAAAAAAAAAAAAGTCCCAGACTTGTCCCCAAGAGAATGGCAGTAGCCTGGTGGGATCTTTGATGGAGTAACACTAACCATCCCCATTCCATCCACAGAGACACCGAGACCTGGTACCACAGCACAGCACTGGTGTTCCGGTTCCCAGCCCAGGGTCCCTACTACAAAGCAGCCCAGCCCCAAAAGTGCCACTACCATCTCTTGGGCCCCAGTCTGTAACCATGATGGCTCATCTCATTTCAATTCACAAACTTGCAAGAGCCTGTGCAGATCCTGGTGTGGAGACAGAGGGCTACAGGGCTGCCCCACCCTGCAATCTAAGAACCTCCATAGATGACAGCCCCAACCCGTAAGCCTGTGGACTCTGGGGCCTCAGCCTCCCCTCACCTCTAGCCCGACTAACGCTGTGTCTTCATCCTGCCCACAGAGCAGCAACTGCGAAGCCACACTTGCCAGGGCCTGGGGACACCAAGGCCACAAACTGTGAGCATTCCATACAAGATGAGAACCAGTCTTCCTGCACTGGGAAAGATGACCTTGAACCTGGCTACGGTCTCGAACCATTCAGGTTTACTCTCCCCGCCACACAAGTAATTGTGCATGTGTGTGTGTGTGTGCCCGTACGTGTGACTGGGTGTGTATGTGTATGTGTGTGGTAATGGGATATGTGTGTATGGGTGTGCATGTGTGTGTGGCAGTGGGGGTATGTGCTTGTGTAAGTGTGTGTATATGTGTGCAAGAGTGTGTGTGAGTGGGTTGTACATGTGTGGCAGTGGGGTATGTGTGTGCATGGGTGTGTGAGTTGGTGAATGTATGTGAGAATTAGCAGGGGGGAGGACTGGCACTGTGGTATAGTGAGTTAGAGCCCTGGCCTGTAGCACTGGCATCCCATGTGGGCACCAGTTCAAGTCCTGGCTGCTCTGCTTCCAATCCAGCTCTCAGCTGTGGCCTGGGGAAGCAGTGGAAGATGTCACAAGTCCTTGGGCACCTCTGCCTCTCTGTAACTTTTTCTTTCAAATAAATAATAAATAAATCTTTGGGGGAAAAAAGAGAGAGAGAACATGTGTGTGGTGGGGGGGGCAGCGTGCACGTGTATGTGTCATGGGGAGTGGCTGTGGAGAGAGCTCCCCCAGCCCCGTCATCCCTCCAAGGCTTGCAGACCAGAGAGCTACCTCGTCTCTTCAAGCAGTGATAGAAGAGGCTGGAGTCCCTCTGGGCAGGGAAGGTATTGAGAGGAAGGTCCTGTGGCTCAGCCGCAGCAAACTGCATGTGGGCCCCGTTCTCGTACTGGTAGTGCTGCAGCGCCTGGTGTGCACCGTGCAGGGGGCTGACGTCGGGCTTGGCCGCGAGCTGGGTGGAGACAAGCCTCTGCCGCATGATGCTTTTGGAAATCACGGGATACTCCTTGCTGAAGGCGGGGAGGACAGTGGGAAAGACGGACATACAGGGAGCTTTGAGGGTCCCCAAGTCCACGTGCTCAAATCCCGTCAGCCCCCCACCCTGGGCAGGGCAGCCTCACCTCTGCAGCCTGGCCACACGCAGGTCACTGTCGTCACTGCCCCGGAATCCCTTGGCAAAAGGATTGTTCTCGATTTTCAGCTGTGTGATCTGCAGGAAGAGGACACGCGGTAGAGTGGTGGCGAAGAGAGAACCGCGGGCCCCTGGCCTGCTTCCCACACCCTGGGCTCGCTCAGAACTCACGGCAGGGCCCGGAGGCCACACATAGCAGCCCTGAGCCAGCTGGGAGGCACCTGGGGTCTCCCCTGACCTTGCCATTCCACGTGGCATGTCCCTGGTTCTCTTACTCTTCTCCATTCTCCTTTTCTAGACCCTCTGATTCCTTCTCCTGCTCTCCAGCCCACAGCACCACCTGGTTCAGGCTCTCCCTGTACCTGGCTCCCTGGCCCACGGCCCTGTCCAGTGAAACCACCACATCAGGTTCACAGGGACTGTGCTCAAGGCAAACTGTACCCTGCTGCTCTCCTGAGGCCCTTCTACACCACCGCCACCCACCCGCCAGTCCTCGTGTGCATAACATGAACAGCACCCTGGGAAGGGTGGCAGGGACAAAGCCAGGGAGGCAATGAGCAGAGGGTGAGCCGTGGGGAGGGTGTGGGTGGGAACATCCCAGGCACCTATGACCGCAGCCTGGGTGCGGCCTCCACAACACTCAGTCCCCCTGCACCCACAGAGCTGACAGGGGCCCAGGGCTACTCTCCCACTTCTCTCCCTCTCTCTGCAGGCCCAGAAACATGCCTGCAGATGCACTGGGACAAGACTATACAACAAGAGGCCCTAACCCAAACCACAAGGCAGGCTCCGTGCTCCCAGCTTCTGCGCCTGCCAACTCTGCCCAATCCCTAAATACAGAGGCCACCATTACTCTGCTCCAGAGGCGTGTGTCTGATCCTCTGTCCTATTCCACACTCAATGTGCTCATGGCTCTGAGGGACACTGCCAGTTTTGGAGGTCCCTGGCCCAGCCTCACTGTATCTTCTCTGTCGTGGGAGCAGCAATGCCCGGGGTGTTGGTGGTAGGGTCTGGGGGGTACCTTGTGATTCTGATAGGAGGTCACAGAGATGAAGGAGGTCTCCGGGAACACATGTGTGCAGAAGGCTGTGTTTTTGGAGCCAAAGGCATTGTTCTCATCAGCCTTAACGATGTGGAGCCGCGGCTGGTACTTGTGCATGGAGTTGAGGATGATCTGCAAGAGAAGGGTCTCATTGTGAGCTCCAGGTCCCCACTCTCTGCTCCTGGACCCTGTTTAGCAGCCCTGGGCTGGCTTTCATACTCCCAAAAGCCCCAGCTTCAGGCCTGACTACCGGGACAGAGCCCAGAAAATTCAAAAGCTCCCAAGCAGAGAAGCAGGCCCCTGAGCCCTGACTCAGCCCGTCTGCTCTGAGGGCTCAGCTGCCTCCTCTCTCCTCTCACAGTGCGTGAAGGGCAGGGGGGTGGGGAGAAGTGGGGAAAGGGGCTCACTCTGTCTTCCAGGCGGCCCCCATTCACTCCCGCCTGTCTTAACATTAGAGGCCCGCTGGGCTACGGGCACTCAGAGGGCCAAAGGCAGCTCCCAGCCTGGATAGAAGCATGCTATGGACTAGAGCCCTAGATGACATGCACAATTCCTAAAATAATGGCAGAGGCGGCCAGGGGCCCCTTGTGGACACCAGGGGCTAGTGAGGACAGGTGGCCCAGCCGGACAAGGCTCAGCCAAGAGCTCCAGAGGCTGGGCCGTGAGCCCCGGGAGCAACACGCGGCAGTTGCTGCTCCGAACCTGCTTCATCTGGCCGTGCCCCATGGTAGCTGCGGCATCGCGTGCCATTAAAATGTATTTTTTATCGTTGACATTTGCCAGACGTCCTCCCACTGGAGGCAGGACCAGGAATTTGGGGCATTTTATCAGCTCGGCTGCCTTTGTTAACCCTTTGGTTTCTGTCTGGGCCGGCCTATGGTGGCCTCAGGTCCCACTCCCCCCAAGCTCCTTTCTCTCTGCCTGGGAGTGCCCCTTCCTAGGGATGGCCCTGCTGGCTCCCACCCTTGGGTTCCTGGGACCGGCCTGGTGCTGAAGCTGGATGAAAGATTTAACCCTTTAGTGACTGGCATGCCAAAAAAGAGGACAGAGTCAGGCTCTTCCAAGGCAAGCCTGGACTAAAGTCTAGGGCTAGAGAGGCTCTGCTCCCTTTACATCTCTGGGGCACAGGGACAGCCCAGAGAGCACACACTCAGCTGACAAAGGAGCTGGGCTCTGGGCTGCCCTGGACTCCTGACTTTGGTTAGGTGGTCCACCCAGCACCAACCAGCATTTCTGCCTCCTGCTCTGGCCACTCCCTCCTTTCTGTTTTTTGTGTTTTTTGTTTGTTTGTTTGTTTTTTGTTTTGTTTTTGTTTTGTTTTGTTTTTTGACAGGAAGAGTTTAGACAGTAAGAGAGAGACAGAGACAGAGAGAAAGGTCTTCCTTCTGTTGGTTCACTCCCCAAATGGCCGCTACACCAGCCTGAAACCAGGAGCCAGATGCTTCCTCCTGGTCTCCCACGTGGGTGCAGGGCCCAAGCACTTGGGCCATCCTCCACTGCCTTCCCAGGCAAACAGCAGAGAGCTGGACTGGAAGAGGAGCAACCAGGACAGAATCCGGCGCCCCAACCGGAACTAGAACCGGTGCCGCAGGCAGAGGATTAGCCAAGTGAGCCGCGGTGCCGGCCATTCCCTCCTCTTTCAATGGCAAACCTCTGGACCCTTCTAGAACAAGTAAAGAGCTTCCCCAAACCCCAAACCAGGTCCCACAACCGGGGACCCCCCACCCACTTGAAGGCCTGCCAGGCCAGAAAGTCCGAGTGAGCTTGACGGGGCCTTGGAGTATGCGCGAACCCGTCCAGCAGCTGAGAGCTCTCCTGCAGGCACAGGGGCTGGGTCTTGGGAAATACCTCCCAGTCCCTGTAGATCTCTGTCACCCGCACTGCTCATGAGGTGCAAACGCCCACCCAGGGTCCACCCAGGACCCTGAGCTCCCTTAAAACCCAGGAGGTGGCCAGACATCTCTGGGAATGCCCAGAGCTCCCTCGGCTCCCATCATCCTCCTTCCCTGTCGTCTGCCATGTGGGAAGCCCTGCACTCCTGGGCTGGCGCCCAGCTCCAGGACCGTCTGAAGCCCTGGAACTTCCCTCTGCGCACTCCACTTGGCTGCCACGGCCTCCGCCGGGCTTCCTGTTCCTTGTTCCTTGGTGAAACTATAAACTCCTCAAGGGGAAGGGCCGAATCCCTGACTCCTTTCGTGCCTCCAGGCTCCTCTGCCCTGACACAGGTCCTGGCGAGGGCCGGGCAGGCCGACAGCTGTGGGCAGATTTGGACCAGGACCGCAGGCTCAGCAGGGGCTTCCACAAGCCCCCTTGCCCCTGGGCCTCACTTTACTCACCAGAGACAACATCGATTGTCTCTAAGGCATTTGTCATGTCGGAAGTGGTGCTCAGACACAGCACAGACTATCCCGCTGTGAGTGGGCAGGACCAGCCCCTGGTTGCTTTGGCTCTCCCAGGAACCCATGCAAAGGGAGAGAGAAGACAGCAAGGCTGACAGAACCTAAAACAGATGCTACAGGCACCCAGCCCCCAGTGAGGCCATGCAGGGCCCTCAGGACCACCGGCAGCAACCTCACTGCTCCTGTGACACAGGGCGGTTCACGAGTGGTCCCAGGGCAGCCAAAGCCCTGGCATGACCCTCAACTCCCCCTCTCCATGGCCATGCCCGTGGTCCACTCCACGACCACATCCTGTGAATGTGCCTCCCCCTGCCCTCCGTGCAGCCCTGGTTCAGACCCGGGTCCCTGGCTGCACTGCTGGATCAGCCTCCTCCCTGCCCCCTCCCACTTCCTCTCCATCTTCACCTGCTGTACCGCCTATCAAGCTGTTCCCCTGCTTCCCCGGGGTATCCGGGAGAACAAAGCCCTTTGTATTTGTTCCTCAGGCTCCCAGGCCCGCTCCTTGTCACAACCGGGCCTGGAGATTTCAGGGTTCAGTAAATGCTTTCTATTGATGAAGGTCCCTGTTAGCCCCTTGCAATCAAGGTCAAGCTCCTTAGCCATCAGACAAAGTCCCCAGTGACTGGGGTAGAAACTCTGCTGACAGGGCAGCCTGGGAAGGCCGAAACTGCCTGCCCTCCTCCTAGGCAGGCACCACCAGAGGAGTGCGAGGACAGCCACAGAGACGTCACGAAGGCTCCAAAAGCCTCGGCGGACCTCTGCTCACCGGCTGCACGTGAGCAAGCGCCTCCCCTCCAGCACTGGGGTCCCTGTCTATAAAGTGAGGCCTTCAACTAAGTGGTCCCAGATCATGGACTCTGACAGCCAGGAACTCGGACAGGTGTCTAGGAGAAAGCCCCCTCCACTGAACCAAGGCAAATGTAAACGTGAGCCTCAGTCCCATCCCGCTGGGAGAACGGGAAACCAACTGGGTGACTCATGCACCTGGCTCTGCTTGCAAGTTCTGCAGGCGCCACACTGAGAGGTTTTGCCAGAGTCTCACATTTATGTGCGCTGCCGAGGATGCTGGGCCAAATGGGCCAGCCACGTCAACAGCCCCACTACGACTGGTCCCGTCATCATCATTGTTTCACAGAAATGGGATTCATTATGTTCTGGCCCCAGCTCCGAAGCCTGGTCTATTTTAACAATCGCAGTAGAGCCAGACATCCATCTCCTCGAGAGAGCACCACAGCGTGCTTAGCCACTAAGGCCCAGATTTCTCTCCGTTAGAATCACAGGACATCAAGACGTGGGAGGGTAGTCCTCACGTATCACTCCGGTCCAGCTGAGGAGCCAAAGGCCTGTGGTGGGCATGGGACTCACTCAAGGACACCCAGCTGGCTGGAGACAGAGCACTGGGCAGAACCCACAAGGTTCTCAACAACTTGTGGAAGGATTCGAGGTGTCGGCTAAGCAATGTGAGGGATGTGGGTCCAGCAGGCATGGCCTATCTGGGTGCGAGTGTTCATTTTGTCACATATGAACATCAGTTTACCTGCACCATTATTTTACTCTCTAAGTCTCCCTTCCCCTCCCCAGCCCTGCAAATAGATTAGGGTAGGGAGAGGAGCCGCAGCTCAAAAATAAAGGAAGAAAAGAAAACCAAGACCTGGAGAATTAAGTGACTTCCCAACAAAGAGCCAAATCAGAACTGGAACAGGAAGCCCTCTAGCCCATTCAAAAGGCCTCAGCCGCACAGGGTCTTGGGCCGTGTCACGGCCAGGACAGCAGTCCTGGGGTCATACCTAGGGCCCAGAACCTTCCCGCCTATTCTCAGAGCAGCAGCAATAATAGCCAATGTCCACCCAGCATGTGCTGTGTGCCCTTTGCTAGGCATTTTACATGCATCGCATAACTGATCTTTACAACAACCTCATAAAGCAGGCATCATTACTAGGGGAGTAGGGGTTGGGGAGTGAAAACATTTGCCCAGTACCAGGCAGCTGAACAGAGGCAGGACCAGAATGGTAGGGATTTCCAAGGCTGAGCTCTTACCTCCACCTGGTGGGGGGACAGCAGAGCTTAGTCTGGAGTTCTGTGGGCCCCCGTCACTCCCAAAGGCTTGGTACATTGACCGCAGCAAATGTGGGAGCAAACGAGGTTACGCAGGGGACAAACAGCTCTGGATCCCTACCCCCTGGCAAGTTAATAGCATGAACTTGGAGGGAAACCAGTACCTTCTCTGTCCACATGCCACCCTGCCACCCACAGGCTCACTCACCCAGCACCCGCTGGTTCTCCAGAGACGGTGCTGGGCACTGGGACACAGCAGTGGTGAAAACCTCGCGATGTTCTGCCTAGTGCAGACAGCGCACGGGAATCCGGAAATGGAGACACAAGCAAGGTGCTAGGAAGGAAACTCCAACACACTTGGAAGGACAGACTTCAGCTGAGATAAAGGCGTTCCTATGCACTCCCCCGAAGTCAGATGGCAATTTAAAGCAATTACAATAAAAAAAAAAAAGTACGCGGAGTTTCTTTTTTCACCACTACAAGCTGATTCTAAAGTTCATATGAAAAATAGACAAGACAAGCCAAGAAAACTGAGAGGAGTGAGAGGGCGGAGCCCTGCCAAGCACTGAAACCCTTTCAAAGTCTCAACAGCTACGGCACTGGCACACGAAGAGACACCAGCACCTGGGGGACTGGGCGTACAGAAGTCAGGGACCCCAGAGTGGGGAGGAGAGAGGA